ATAATAATAATAACAATAATAATAATAATAATAATAATAATAATAATAATAAAATTATTATTATTATTATTATTATTATTATTCATTTAAAAAAATATTTTTTAATTCACAACATTTTCATGCACAACCAAACACAGTAATGTAATATTCCTAGGAATTTGAGAAAGATTTCTGTATGAAACCAAACACAATAATGTATTATTCCTAGGAATCATATTACCCTCCATCATTTTCCTGGGAATATGATTTCTTATGATTACCCCATACCAAACAGCCTCTTAGGATTCACCCAGATTTACTCATGAATAAATTTGGTAATTGAACACAGAATTTAATGGTTTTACTCTCACGAAGCACCAAATATATACATTTTTTCAACTGACACTTACTCATAATATTAATATTAATTAATTTTTTATTCATTTTTTTATTTACATAATAAAGAAATCAACGTTTGATCACCAAGAATGTACTTTTTTTTTTTGAACGGAAGAAATGAATCTGCTCCTGGATTTAGCTTCTACTTGAAACTGAGGCTTACCGAACTTGAATTGATTACCAAAAGTATTATTCCTAAATATATGGAGATTAAAACATATAGTGCAAAAAAAACAAAAAACCAAGAAAAAGAAAAAACAAAAGAATAAGAATAAGAAAAGAAAAGATGTTGAGGAAAAGCCGGGTAATATGAATATGGTTTCCTCAAAGGAAGGCAACCTTGGCAAATGACAACTACTAATTCTATTGTTATTTATTAATAATTTCTTATAAAATGACAGACATTAATGAGCTGCCAAAAGAGGGAAAGCGATTCACTTTCACCTATACATGCTTCGCTTTTAATCATATATTTGTTGTACTGCAATCCAACACTTCAAATCAATTGGACAATTTTTTACCACTTCCCACCTCAAATTTCTGCAACAATTCATCCATCATCTTCCAGAAACAGAAAGACATCTTATAATTTAAGGTATTATTTAGTTCATGAATTTAAATCAAAAATTTTTCTTAAAAAAACACCGTAACAAAAGAAAGAAAAAAAAAACAAAAAGAAATGATACAAATCATGAAAAACCATTTACCGTTTTATCACAACCCCGAAACAAAAAAGAAGGGGAAAAAAAAAGGAACCCTTGAAAATGAAGGATGAATATTAATCAACATTTGAGAAGGAGAAGTACTCTTCCTTCTTACGTTTATCATTTGACGATGCAAATAATGAAATTTTCAATTAAACCACCAAAATAACCCCTCACAAATCAATATTGTTACCAAACAATTAATTATCACACATAAGGTTGGACGAAGATTTGGAAAAAAGAAAAAACAGAAAAAGTATTAGCCCATCATGTCTGATTCGAATCATGGTTCGTAGTTCGTTACAGTATTTTTTCTCATAAAAAACACACGTAAATCGAGAATAATTCTAAATCTATGAACCAAACGTCCACATATAAAGCAAGCTAATACCCTACTTTAGGCCTTAATATCAAGACCACCATCTAACTTGAGATTAGAAAACCGGTTTAACTTTAAAAAACAAACATTTTTTGAAAACAGATTTCATTACAAATCACAGACAAATACAACAATGTGATAATTTCTCGACATGTTATACTGCACATATAGCAGGAACACCATCCATATTGGAAATGGAGACAATTTTACTGGACGAAAAACATACACGTCTAAGCATTTGATACTTATCAAGAGTAAAACTTTCTACTTCGGTTTAAACTTACAAAATCTGTTTTCCAAGCCACTGAACAAGAAAAGTTCCATGTCAGCGTGCAACAGGAACATGCTCTTCATGCTAATCATGTAAATAAAAATATGCTGAAAAATAGCCAACAATATTACGATCTTGATCTTCCCTTAGTAAAAGTTACAGGCACATCTCTTAAAATCTTTTGCACCACTGGCTGCAAGTTAAGATCTAATTTGCCCAGAGAAATTAAATTGAGAAACAACTCCACAGTTGAAACATCCGCAGAGAAACCCTTTGCCACCATTTCATCAGCGAACTGCAATGCTCTTGATATCTCGTTGTTATGAACAAGTCCCCGAATCATTAAATTACAAGTGCAATCGGTTGGAGCACATCCTTTTTCTTCCATTTCTTGATGCAAATTTAGAGCTTCACCTACCAGGCCTCCAGTAAGAAGTCCATTAATCATTATGTTACAAGTCCTCACATTATGCCGAATGCCTTTACATGGTAGTATAGAAAAAAGATCCTTTGCCGCTGCAATATTCTTGGCTTTACACATACCTCCAATGAGAATATTGCAGATCACGATATTTAGTGGTAACGTCTTCCCCTCCATATCTTGAAACAATGACATTGCCTCTTCAAGCTCTCCATTTTTTGCATAAGCCATGGAGTAAAATAGCATATGTCTGAATATCTGGGAGCTGCCCTGAGGCTTGCATTGTGTGAAGCAAATCCTGAGCATGCCGCGTTCTCCCTACTTTACACAAACCAGCAACCAGAGTGTTACTTAGACGTCCTTTCTTCAAACAATCTAAGAGCCTCATCTATCATCTTTTTCTTACAGTATCCGTTTATCAAAATGCTATAACTAAACATATTAGGTTCACAACGGCTTCCGATCATCGTGTCAAACACTTTTCTTGCCTCATCAATTTCTCCTCGCATACAGTATCCGTCAATAAGAGAGCTATAGGTGACAACATTAGGCTTTGACGCCTCTTTGAATCATACTCTCCATCACTTCTTGTGCCTTCATAGCCATCCCTTCCTTGCAAAGAGCATCAACCAAGATACTAAATGTTTGAATGTCGGGGGAGATATTTTGATCCACCATTCCGACAAATAAGCTCATAGCTTCTTTCAATTCCCCTAAAATGCACACCCCATGGATCAAGGTGTTGAAAGTAACAACATTCGGAACAACACCTTTTCTTCTCATTTCTGAGAAAAGGTCCAGAGCTTCACGAAGTAGCCCTTCCTTGCAAAGGCCGTCAATAACTGTGCTATAGGAAACAACATTAGGCTTGCAATTCTCTTCCTTTTCCATCTTCTTGAGCAACTGAATAGCTGCAACACTGTTGCCCGTCTTACAATTCCAGTTAAGCAGTGTCG